CATCCAAAATAAAAGTTTTTGTTTACATAATATATATGTGTGTGTACTGTGTATATTTATTATGTAAGTATATATAAATACACATGCATACACCTATATACTTAGAAAAAAATTACATATATTTACATGTATATATTTATATTATATATAAATATATTTCGTATACAAACATAACATATTTTTCTTAAATATATACATGCATGTGTGTGTATTTATATATACATAATAAATATACACAGTACACACACATATATATTATGTAAACAAAAACTTTTATTTTGGATGCGATTAATCGTTTGTCACCACTAATATATATATATATATATATATGCAATATTTTATTATCTTATTAAAAAGATTTTTTAGGAATATATTCACACAAAATAATGTTATTCACTGATTTATTGTATTGTTTATATATATATAAACTTGTTTTATTATCTGTCTTGTTTTCACATTTTTATTTTATTATTTTATACACTTAAGAATAAATGTAGAATTTATTTATGCATTTAGCAGACATTTTTATCCAATCAACTTAAAATTAAGGAACAATTCGTGAACAATGTTGGTAATACACAATGTCATGTTTTTAGTCAACTAGAGTATTATACTGAAAGCTTCACCAAGACAAATCTCGGTAATGAATCATATGTTTACATTGAATGCACTGTAAGTTGTTTTGGATAAAACCGTCTGCCAAATGCATTGATGTAAATGTGACTGTGTTTCGATCGCCGCAGGGTAAGGAGGAATGGCAGCGGAGAGCGGGGAAGTTTGACGACATGTGCGGCGCTGTAGTGCAGATGTTCAACAGACTATCCAACGTTCCCAACCGGATCATCCTGTACGACCTCTACAACTACATCTGTGACATCAAGAGCGGCGTCACCATGGCCAAAGCCTACGTCAAGACTCTGGGTGAGAGCCTGAGTGATCATAAAGCAATAATCCTCGTGAAGCTGTGGTTTACAGTGAATTTATAACAGCTAAGGGGGTTTATTCACTGTAAACCACGGCTTCACGGGGTTTATTGCTTTTATAACACAGTTATTCCATATACGTAGTTAGGTTTCACAGAATAAAACAGAGCAAGTAAAGTGTAAAGATATTAATAAAAACAGTATTCTTCCACCAAACAATGTAGCTCCTCAGAAACAGTTGTGGTTGCTACAAAGTGGTTGCCGAGCAACAGACAAACGTAAACAAAGGTGTGTGTTACTTTGTAGAGCGAGTTTCCAACGTGGCTCAGCCAATCAGAATCAAGGACCGGAACTCTCCGTTTTATAAGAATAATTATAAATGCCTCATGTGTTTGTGTTGCAGGAGGTCAGACGCCTCATCCCGCTCTCACTTTAACCGACGATCCCGAGCCGTGGGGCTTCAGAGGAGGACTGTCCGGAGAATTCCAGGTACGCTTCTGTACGACACTGACCTTTGACCTGCGACCGGGCCTTCAGCTCCTGACGGTGTTTGTGTCGATGTTTAGCGGATGCTGCCGTCTCACGGGATCTGTGACCTGTTCCGCAGTCCTCCGGCCACACGCGTGTACACCATACGACCCTGCACTCCTAAAGACCAGGTGACACGCTCTTAAAGAGACAGTCCACCAGAAATCATGCTTTACTCACCTGCAGGTCTTTCTTCTGAAGACCGTTTTGGTTCCTATTGACGAACACCAGTGAAAAGATTTTCTGAAATACTGTAAAAAAAAACAGCTGTATTTTCAGCATCATTACTCCAGTCTTCAGTGTCACATGATCTTCAGAAATCAGTATAATATGCTGATTATTAGAAACATTTCTGATTATTATCAATGCTGAAAACAGTTTTAAAGCTTACAAAAATAAGAAATTAACACTTTTATTCATCAAGGACGCATTAAATTGATCAAAAGTGACAGTAAAGACATTTATAATGTGACAAAAGATTTCTATTTCAAATAAATGCTGTTCTTTTGAACTTTCTATTCATCTGTGAATCCTGAAAAATAAAATGTATCACGGTTTCCACAAAAATATTGTGCAGCACAACTGTTTTCAACATTGATAATAATCAGAAATGTTTCTTGAGCAGCAAATCAGCATATTAGAATGATTTCTGAAGATCATGTGACACTGAAGACTGGAGTAATGATGCTGAAAATACAGCTGCGCACAACAGAAATAAATTAGATTTTAATATATATTCACATAGAAAACAGCTGTTTTACATTCTAATAATATTTTACTATTTTTACTGTGTTTTTGATCAAATAAATGCAGCCTTGCAGAGCAGAAGAGACTTTGTTTACCAACATTAAAAAATCTTAATTTTTACAAATGGGAACTTGAACTGTTATGGTATGGTAAAAAAAATATATTTTTAAATATTTTTCAAAATATGCAAAAAATAACCAAAATACATATTTTCTAAAATATGTTTTAAAACATATTTACTTAAATATTTGTAGTATATTTTTTGAAAATACATTTTTATATTTTGCCCTCCATACATTTCAATCCAAGTATAAATTCACATATGTGTGTGTATATATATATATATATATATATATATAAATTAAACAGTAAGGCTTCTGTAAGATTGGAAATGTATTTTCTTCCATCTGAAATAAATGTTGAAATTTTTTTGGGGAATATGAAGGTTGAAAGTAAATATATTTTCAGTTTCAAAAATATATTTTGTTCAGCTTCACTGTTTACAACTTATATTTAAAATATATTTTGGCCAGAGAATTTTTTTTTTTTGTGTTTGTTTCCAGCCAGAGGTGCTGAAGATCTTCAAGGAGATGCAGATCGAGACGCAGCAGAAGGTGGAGCTGGTTGGCGACCGGTGAGAATACACCAGCTAGTTTGGTTAGGTTAGTCGCCGAGCGCTTAATCAGACTGGTTTCTCCGTCAGGCTGGTGGAGGGTCACGTCACGCCGTCGCAGAACTGCAGTCTGATCCTAGACGACGCGGCTGGAGTCTGCGGTTACGCGTTTGCCCTCAGCGACGCCAAGACGGCCATGACTAAAGCTCAGGTACGGAAACAAACTCTTGTTCAAGTTTCAAAACGTCAGAGATTTCTTGGACTTCAGCGTCTTTGTGTTTCCTCCAGTATCCAGAGACGATGCTGCAGGATTTCCCATCAGTCATGGCCATTCAGATCCACTCCAGAGTTCCTGATCACAGCACAGCCGAGCGGCTGATCGAGCAGATGCTGTCAGCGCTGAGAGACAGCGGTGAGTTTAACAACACTCTCCACCAATCAGAGCGCTGCGCTGACATCAGCAGCGTTACATTAGTCACCGGTCTCACCGCATGCTCGACAGCTGATTGTAAGCTGTTCATCCAAGTGTGTTTCCACAGGGTCTAAAGGGGTTTTCAGCGAGTTCAGATCCAACGACAGACGAATGTTCGACTTCCTAAAGACGCTGGATGTGTTTCAGGTGCTTAAAGTCGACGGGCTTCCGACCAACCTGGTCATCATGGGAACTAAACTCTGACGGTCCACATACAGACAATAATCTAACCATTAATTTGTTTTTTAATTAATTCTTTGATTAAATCCATAATTTAGTTGGGGGTATAAAATAAAACAATAAGCCCCAAGAAGCCGTGGTTTACAGTGAATTTATAACAGCTAAGGGGCGTTGTTAGGCACGACACGAAGCGGAGTTAGCTGTTATAAATTCACTACGTTATTCCATATAGTAAGGTTTCACAAAATAAAACAGAGCAAATAAAGTGTAATGATATTAATAAAAACAGTATTCTTCCACCAAACAATGTAGCTCCTCAGAATCAGTTGTGGTTGCTACAAAGTGGTTGCCGAGCAACACACAAACGCAAACAAAGGTGTGTTACTTTGTAATTTACAACAGCTTTGAACGTGGCTCAGCCAATCAGAATCAAGCACCGGAACGCTCCGCTTTATAATACAAACATAAATTA